GATCCCTGCGCCTCAGATCGGGCCCCACTCCAGTGAGTCCCGTGCAAGCCACGGGATGCGGCAGGAGTAACACTACCTGTTTTCAAGACCCGGTAAGCAAGAGTCTCACGGCTCCCTCCTGGTCCTCTTGGGAGGAGCCGGCAGCCCGGGGAGGAGTCTGACTCCGCGGAGTCCGCCACGCGGGGCGGGCCGCACACACCGGCTGAGGTCCCAGCCGAAAGGCAGCACCAGCTGGCGATCACAGCTGCGTGCCATCCCGGACGCCCGGACGCGTGACTTCAGCTACCTGCCGCCCCAGCCAACACCTGGCTGCAGGCGACAAGTGCCCAGACGAGCCCTTTCCAAGTTCCCGACCCGCAAATCACGAACGAGACGAGCGGGGTGACTTCCTGCTTCACCTGGCACACGTGGCGGCCAGCCACGCCTGGTCTTTTCAGCATCAGTGCTTCTGACGAGCAGCAGCACCGAGCGACGGCCAGCAGATGGGCACTCCGAGGTCGCCTGCACTTCCTTGGCCCTTTAGCGGGCCATGGTGGCACAGAGCAGGCGGGGTCTAGCGCTCCAGCTCTCCCGGATTTAGTCACGCACACGGAACAGAAGGCATAGCCTTCCAGCCCGTCCCAGCGAAGCCTGGGCGTCACCTGTTACCTTGCAATAGCAATCAGGATGCGCCCATTATCTCAGTCACCCAGGCAACAGCCCTGGAGGTGGGTTCTATAGTCATCCCCCATTTTACAGATGAGGCAGCCGAGGCTCAGTGGAGTAGGGGAGTCCTGGAGCCACTCCATGGGGTGGCCCCGATCCCAACTCCAGAACTTTCCCCCAGTGGACCCCGTTCCCCGGGAGATTCACCTTTGCATCCTCAGGACCCGGCGTCGAGCGAGCCCTTCACAAACGTGTGTTTGCTGAATAACGGATCGACAGATCAGCAACTGCATGGATTAATGAGTCTCTGGTCCTCAGTTTCCCCTTCTGCCAAAGGGAGAACACTGGGGGGCAGGCTGTCTCCTGTGGTCCCTTCTGTCTGGAGCATCCTATGCTTCTTGGAGCAGCTGTGCCCCCTAATGCCACCATGTCACTGGGCCACCCCGGCTGGCTTTCAGAGAGCTTCAGAACGTGACCCCTACTCTAGACCCCAAGACTTGTAGATCACTGCCCACTTCTACCCTGAGCCAACCCAGAAAACCCTTGTTCCCAACAGGGCAAATGCCACTCTTCCCACAAAGCCTGACTCCCACCCGCTCCTTCCCCCATCTCCCCTCCCCCCAGGGCTCCCACCTCCTGCCCCAGCGGCCTTGGCCTTGGTCCCCAGCACCTGCTGACTCTTAGGAAGTTCACAACCTGCCTGAACACATCTTAAAGACTGGAGCAAAGTTCAAAGAAAGCCATGTTCTATGGAAAACCAGGCTCTAGATCATTTCAAACAGCAGTGAAGCTCCCACACCTTTCTTGTTAGGATGCGCATTTAGGGGTATTTCCCAAATTTCGGCCTTTTGCATAGGACCTTGACAAGTTCGACAAACGTTTACTCCAGCTCTACTGCTATTTATTTATTTTTTTTTAATTTTTTTTTCAACATTTATTTATTTTTGGGACAGAGAGAGACAGAGCATGAACGGGGGAGGGGCAGAGAGAGAGGGAGACACAGAATCGGAAACAGGCTCCAGGCTCCGAGCCGTCAGCCCAGAGCCCGACGCGGGCCTCGAACTCACGGACCGCGAGATCGTGACCTGGCTGAAGTCGGACGCCCAACCGACTGCGCCACCCAGGCACCCCGAGCTCTACTGCTATTTAGTTAATACTTTCCCTTAAATAATCAGCCTTCGCCGTCCCCCTTCCCTCCCCCCTTCCTCCTTCTTTAGAAGCAGCCCCTTTCTAAGCAACAGCAACTATAAAATCAGCCTGATGTGCTTGCGTCCCTAGACCTTCTAAAATCATCCATCCGTCACCAGGGGAGGGGTCCTGCAATTGGGGAAATATTGGTTTTTAGGGGAAGATGTTGTTTAAGCCGCAGATTAACCTTGCAGAATAACCTCGGCATATTTTAATCAGCCTGCTAAAAGACAGGATTTTAAAATAATTTTATCGTCCTCTTTGTGCTTTTCCCACAGCTCTCCCATTTTTTTATAGTAAGCGGTCTTCTTTCTGGAATTAGAAATCGTACACGGACGTTGCAAAACAACTAAGACCATCTGCATTTTCAAAAAACACCGAGAGCTGGGTGAGAAGAGACAGCGGGGTGAGTGCCCAGACATTTGCCAAGCGAACACGGACGATATTTATGCGGGCTAACTGTGAGTCAATGTCCGGCCCTCTCCCTTCTTCCAACTGCTGGAATTAGAGGAAATGTCATTCCTCCTGCTTTCCCCCCCCCCACCCCCCACCCCAAGCCAGCTGTCACCGGGTGTGCAGGGGACAGGAAACAGGATTACAAGACGAACAGGGAGCCTGCCGTTCCGGCCTGGCTATTATCACAGCCGACTCCGGACAGCCATCTTCCCCACGTGTCACTGGGAGTTGGGACCACAGCCCAGAATAACTGCTTAACGAGGGCAAAACTGGGAGTAATGGCGAGTCTTCCCCCAAATCAGATACGTTGTATCGAGCGTGGACTAAGAACCAAGGACCCTGCTGACAGCCTCTCATGTAACACTTACAAGAACCCTGGAAAATGGAAGCTGTATTTATTTACACCCATTTTACAGACGAAGACACGGAGGCTCTGCGAGGTTAAGTCACTCGCCTGAGGGCGCATGCTGATAAATGCAGAGTGAGGATCGAACCCGGGTGGGTTCGTCCGACTCCCAAAGCCTTCTGTTGGACCCGCCCTGCCCTACTCTGTCTCCTTCTCAGGCACCACGTCCACAGTACCGGGCCCATGACCGTGTCCACTCTCCCAGCCTGGTTCCCCGGTGCGGCTCCTAACATGGCCACAAAGACGCACGCGGTTCTTGGGCTGAGAGTCCCCTGGGGTCACTGACAGTGAAGCTCTCAGACATCTGTGCTTCCCCACTTGTCTCTCCTTCCACGTCTATCATCCAGCCAATCAGCTTCCAAAGCGCAGGGCCCTGGCCCGACACAGGAAAGCGGTGAGGGGTCCTGGGGACAGACATACACGGTCTGTGGCCAGGGGACACCTCTTGGAGGAAGGGGCAGCTCCAAGGAGACCTAGTGATGGGCGGGAGAGGGTCAAGTGGGGAGGAAGGGAGAAAGCCCGAGGCAGACCAGACGTGCTGTTCGAGGGGCCAAAAATAATGGGAAGAATACAGGTGTCGAGCATCCCCTTCCGCAAGATTGAGACAGTGCGGGGGGGGGGGCACTGGGGGGGGGACAGAGCTAGGGAGGAGTGGCCAGGTCGGACAGGAAGGGCGCGGCCCTCCACGAGGAGTCTGGACGACCTCATCCTGAGGGCATCAGGAAGCCCGGGAGTGTTCTAGGCTGTGGAGTAACCTCGTCTGATTCGTGTTTTACACAGATGTCTTTGGCAGCTGCCTGAAGAATGTCCTAGAAGGGTCTAAACAACTCAGGAGGCTGTGGCTGCTGGAACCGAGAGCCTGGCAGGAGACCGGGGGGGGGGGGTGAATTTGGACACATGTTAAGAAGGCTGCATCGACGGGACCCGGTGGCTGGGTGCGTGTGAGGGGGTGATTTGCAACACCTTCAGTCCATCATCCCATCTGCTCTTGACTTTGCGGGAAGGAGGGAAGATGTGAGGGAAGAACCCTTGGTGTGCAGGCCGGAGCGGGGTGGCTCACATCCAGTCCCTACCCGCCCGGCCTAGAGCCTCACCTTCAGGCCTGAGGTGAGACTCCATCAAAGGCTACAACGCCTTAAAGGAAGCCGACAGGATGGCGAGGGAGTGTGGTCGCCGTGCGCCCAGGGCCACAAACAGGTTGACCCCTCCCGGCCTTATGAGGTGCTGTCAACTTTTCCACTGACCGTGGACTTCACCCAACTCCGATTTCCAAAATGCAGACACTCGACGCCAACGTTTTCTAACAATTTAAGAACTGGGTTCTCTTAGCCACAACCACAAAAAATCTCACTACCCCCGCGATCGTGAAGGACCCCAATGATAAAGCGGGGTGGACGTGTGCGCATCTGAAGGTATCGGTGTTACTCACTTTTTAAAAGCGTGCAAAATCACAGCAGGTGACCCCACCAGCTAAACACGGTTTCCGTGGCACGTATTTCCAAACGCATGTTAAAACCCCAGCGCTGTGGGTTTTCCCTCTCCCTTTCTTAGATCCCTTCTGTTTCTTTGAATGGGTTTGTCCGTCCATCTGCCTGACTCACCCTTCTCGTGTCTTCCACAGAGGATAAGGAAAAACTTCCTAAATGACCTCATTTTATTTTGAAACACTAAACCCACCAGAAGGGGTGCAGCGGGGGGGGGGGGGGGCGGGGACAGAAACCCCTTCCTGGTCAAAGGAATCAAGATGTATTTCTAATTCCCTCGCCATATGGTAAGTTATTTTGGAAGCGTATCATGAGGTAAGAGAACGTTTGAGAAACTTGGCAAGGCTTGTACAACCCTTTCAAATCAGACCAAATTCCCACTATGTACATTTGCTATAGCCCCTTCTATTCATCATATCAGCGACCGTGACCACAGGATATGTAAAAATACCGAGCAATTTTTATCACCAGCTTCCAATCCCCCCAGTGCCCCGGACCACCACATGGTGTCAGGTTTGTCTGTATTTCACCCCCAGGAAATCAAGTCATTAACTTCCCTTTCATTTACGGAGAGCTGTTGCCAAAAAGAAAATCATTCATCGGCTGTGACTTATGGGAAGAAAGAGGAAGGACTGACTTCACGGGAAGGTGGGCGACAGCAAAGAAAGAGGGGAGAGAAAGTTCTCGCAACATCAAGTTCCCTGGCGCCTCCTCCCCGTCCTGCCCCCCCCAAGGGGGCACACGCCCCTCCCCCCAGGCTGTGCCATCCTTTAAGGGTTAAGCCGTGGGTGGCCGCTTCCCCCTTTTCTCGGTGGGGACAAAGGAGCCCAGACTTCCAGGTTCTTACCTTTGCATTCTTGACATTCTGTGTAGGTCCATGTCGTCACTGCCCCGGAATCCTTTGGCGAAGGGATTATTCTCAATCTTTAATTGGGTGATCTGAAGGAAGGAGAGAGAGAGAGAGGGAGGGAGAAACGTGGGTTTTCACTTCACCTGATGGCAGCCTCTGGCAACCAAAGGCAGCAAATTAAGCCAGTCACGTCAACGGAACCCACCACTTCATTCGAGAGGAGGCTTTGAAAAATGTCCTAGATCAGACCGCTTGGAAACGGGGAAAAAAACCTGGTTTCGGTTTGCCCATTAAGTGGAGTCATACCCCGCATCACTCCAGCTGCGTTTGGTTTTTAATCCCGCCATGTTGTGCCGCACACACGATCTAGGCCCCCGACACTCGGTGCGCCGGGGGGGGGGGGGGGGG